CTTGTTATCACCTCGAAGAACAGAAAGCTCGCTCTCTTTCTTCCGCACGAGATCTTCGTAATCTGTCGAAGTCTTGGACAATTCGGAGAGTTGCTGCTGGACCTGGCGGTTCTCGAGAGCAAGCTGGGACTCTCTCGATTTGGATGACTGAAGTTCCTTTTGCGCCGTTCGCAACTTGACTTCGAGATCTTGGTCGACCTTGAGAAGCTTGCTCTCCAAGTCCCGTGCTTTACGATCTTTGAGGCTGAGCTGGCTCTGCAACATCTTGATCTCCTCTTCAAGCAGTCGCTCCTGTTCACTGCGTTCCGATTGCTTTTGAGAAATCTCTTGGATGGAGCGCTCTAGCTCTTCGGTTCGTGCTGAGAGTTCCGACTTTTCTTGCTCCAATCTCGCGATCAACAAAGCCGCTTGCTCCAGTTGAGCTCGGTACTTCTCGACGTCTTGCTCCGCCCTCTTCTTGGCTTTTAACAGGTCGTCGAGTTGGTCCTCCAGTCTCTCCTGGTCTTCTATGGCGCCGGAGAGCTTTTCCTCGAGTTCCGTTTCTCGCACCTGGAGGCGCTTGAAGATTTCTTCCTTGTCAAGGGCAAGTGCGCGTTCACTCTCCAAGGTCTGCTGGATACGGATCATCTCGCTGTGGACGTTGCGCCTGTCCTCCTCTAGCCTGTGGCGGTCTTCAGCCTCTTGCCTCATCTTGTCCTGGAGCTGACGGATCATTGTGTCCCTCTTCTTGACCTCTGTAGCGCTGCGGGTGGCTCCCAAGAGGGGTTTCATCTTGCTGACAAGCTGCCACCACGGGTTTTCCATAAGGTCAAGGTAGGTATTGAAGTTTTTCTGAATGATACGTGTGGCCTCGGTTCGAAACAGCCTTTTGTAGGCGACACGTCGCTGGATGTAGCCGCGTGCAACAGACTGGAATCGAGACATTATCTCGGTGATGAGGGCGTCTCGTTGCTCTTCCAGTTCGGCCAGGACACCAGCTCGGAAGAAGACCTTCGTAAGGCCCACACGGTACAAGCTCTTATCCAGTGCGAGCTTCTCAAGCATCATTGCTGCCACAGCCTGGCCCTCCTGGTAACCTTTCGGCATGTTTTTGCAGAGAACCTCGTAGCGCTGACGGAATTCGGCAAAAGGGAGGCGATTGGGGAAGCCGGTTCGGGCAATACGTATTCCTTCTAGCACACCATTACATCGCAGCTGGTCTAGGACGAGCAGTTTGTTGAATTGTTTGGGCTTTTTCTTGTGGTTTGGCAGGATGCAGCGAACGAAGTGAGGATGAGTCGAGTGGAGCTGGGCCATCAGGCTGTGAAGCTGCTCTTTGTGGCGCTGAGCCACGGTCCGGAAGAGCCCCTTCTTGACCCTGTTGCGACTGGCCCCAGGGTCATCGTCAACGTCGGCGCAATCGGCGAAGAGGTCGGCAATGTGCTTATCTGTGGAGGATGCAAGAAGGCGAGTGATGTTATCATTCAATGGGTCTTTGTTCTTCTCAAGCCAGCCATCAGTGGAATACTCGACTTCAGCCGCGTAGTGTGTAAGGATAAAGCCTTGGCCAAGCCGAGAGGGCCGGTACTTGTTCGACTTCTTGTCCCACAAAGAGTTTAGTTTTTCGGTGAAGGACTTGTCCGTCGCCTTCGGCATCACGCAATCCTCGTCTAAGCAAGAGAATATACCGATGGGGTTGGGCAGTTCGATAAGGTCGATTGTGGGTTGGAGGTCCCGACCAAAGTCGATGAACTGCCACTCAATCTGTTCCCTCGCATATTCTTCTTGCTCGAGAACGAACATGTGGTGGTTGAAGAACTGCTGAAGCTTTTCGTTGGTATAGTTGATGCAGAGCTGCTCAAAGCTGTTTTCCTCGAAGATTTCGAAACCGGCGATATCCAGAACACCGATGAAGCGCGAGTCGTCCAGTCCCATACCCGTGCGATCCAGCTGACGGTTGATACGTGTAACGAGGTCGCCGAAACCTCTTTCATAGATACCCTTGGACAAGGCGTCAAGTCCCAGACGGACCTGCTCAGGGGTCTGAACCTTTTCGACCCATTCGCGGCCTGCCTTGACTCTGGGGTGAAGGAGGCCTTGCAGGAATGGCTCAAGGGGAACACCAAGCAGCTTACACACCTTGGCTGCTTGCTCCTTGGCATCGGGGGCCAGCCGGGCTTGGTCTGCAGCACGACTTTCCTTGACAACGGAGATGTTTCCGAGGTGCAAGACCGCGGCAATGGTACGGATGATTGAGCTTTGGTCCTTGTCTGAGAAGCCCATCACACTGAAGGCCTCCATCAACAAATCCCATTCCTCGCGATCGGAAACTCCAACAATGGTGTCATGACCGGCGCGCGTATACGCAAAATCCTCGACGTCCATGCCATCCAGGAGGAACTCCTGCTTCAGTTTTCTGTCCGCACCCTTGAGAAGCTGGTAGAAGATGTGGTAGTTTCTCTCGTGCCCATTGATCCTCACAACACGAGACTTTTCTAATAAGTACCAGTCGATGAATGCCCCAGAAATTGCGCCACTTCGATTGAACTCGATACGGATGAACTTTCCAAATCGCGAGGAGTTGTTGTTGCGTACCGTCTGAGCGTTGCCGAAGGCTTCGAGAATAGGGTTGGCGCGGAGAATCTGTTGAGAGAGGTTCGATTGTTGAGACTTGCTCTTGACCGGGGACTCTGAATGGGCGACAGCCGCAAGGTACTGGATGACCTTCTTGGTATTTTCGGTTTTGCCGGCACCAGACTCGCCAGTGACGAGGATGCTCTGGTTTTCGCCCTCGTCCACCAGGTTGCGGAAGGCGTGATCGGCCATGGCGAAGATGTGAGGCTTTGTGTCTTCCCTACTCCTGCCCTTATACATATTGATATATTCGTTTGTGTAGATGGGCAGCGAACAGTAAGGGTTGACTGTGACCAAGAAGAGACCAGAATAGGTGTAGATCAGGTCAGCTTGATATCTCATGTGGAGGTTGTGGACCACAGATGCCTCATTCAGATGGGTCAACTCGGCCATATCGTTTGCCTTGTCGAACTTGGCAGGGTTGACTTTGTCGACGCTTTCAGCGTCTACTTCTCGTTGCTGTTTGCCTCTAGATTAGCTACGTTACGAGCACACGCAGACTAGAATACTTACTGTGCCATCGTCGCACTGAACGAGGATCTTGTTGCTTCCGGTTTCTTCAACCACCCAACCCCTCACGAAGGCGGCTTGGGGGTCCTTAAGCCACACATAACGCTTTCCCGAGAAGTCATTCTCTCCCTCGATACCCCTGACCGCGTTGGACTCTCCGCGCATTTCCTCGCCCTTGATGAATGAGGGCGCAAAGGTCCCAGAGCCACTGTTCCTCGAATCTGAGCGGTTGTGGCGGAAGTGACCAGTTCCCGAGAACATAACGGGTGCCGCAGGTGCTGCAGGCGCTATTGACGCAGTCGAATTGTTTTTGACATGCGACGTTGGCGTAGACATAGCCGATAACGGAGATGGGGAGGAGAAGACTGCGGACTTCGGCCGACTGCTGCTAGGACCGGGCGAAGTCCTAGCGAAAGGATTATTGCGCGGTTGCGCCATGATTTGGGAAATCGCTGGAGGAGTGGTGTCGTTAAGATAAGGGGGTTCTCAGAACCGTGGGTTATGTCGTGTCGTTCGTCGCAAAACGTCTCTCGTAGATGTCCCGCTCATGGAGTAAACATTAAGACAGAAGCAAAGCTGACGAAGGGCAATACAGCGGTAATTCGTGAAAGAAAACAATGCGAAAGAAGTCGCCGAGTCGCAGGCTCTAGGACGAAATTGCTGTTGCGAAAACGACAAAACCAAAGCAAGCTCGGGGAGGCTGGGGAGTGGAGGATTGGCATTCGACGTAAGGATGGATATTGTTGACTTTAGGCCATGAACAGGGATACAGGACGACGGTTGCTCAGGGCACGCCTGATCAAAGTAAACAATGGGGGTGCAGGGAGGGGGTACTGGGGACACGTGACAGACGCCAACCCCAATGGTGATGCGAGACCGTCGCAGTCAGTCCAGCTTGAACCGGACTAGCCCCAGCCCGAGGACCCCTCCCTCTTTGCACGGCCTTTGAGTTGGGTAAGTACGGACATTTATTTGGCTTTGGACTTTCCCCATGGATCTTCGATTCGACTCGACTGTCCGAGCCGCCACCCAGCCTCCGTCAGCAGCCGCCAGTTGGTGGCCTTGAACTTTGATGCCGACGCTGCCCTTTCTCCCAAACACACGCGTCCAGCTCCAGCGACATCAATCAGACACCAACGTTCCTCAACTCTCATCTTTGCGACAGGAGGGAAAATTATACACGGGTTTTTGGGGTCGCTTATTCTTGCAGAAGCTTCTCGCTCTATCTAAATCCGGAGAGCCCACCACTGCCTCTGCTGGTTGGTACGCGCCCACATCTGAGGTGCATGACGATTGTTTTTCCGACGAGCTTTTTATTTTTATTTTTTTTCGCGCCGTGAAATCTTCTCTGGTCATCCTAGTTCAGCAAAGCAGGCAAACCACCAACGACCTTGGCCACACCAAACCCCCGGTCACCCCTTCTCTGCAAACTGCCATGCTCCTTTTGTTTTTCCAGACCATAGACCTAACTTACCCAGATTTCATTTGCCTGCTTTTGCTGTTCTAGCGATTCTAGCGCAACAAGCCACGGACCGCCGACGGATTTTTGGGGCAGCATCCACCAAAACCACACACCTCGATCCCTAGGTGACTGCCAGTTGCGCGCGCCGCGCACTTGCCCTTCCGAGGCATCGTCTTTTTTGAGTGGCCTACATTTGGCAGTCAATCGCTTCCAATCGCGGTCGCAGTCCTCCAGGATGAACAATTATTATCCATACGGGTACTCACCATACCCGGGGCAGGCACCACCTGCACAGCAGCAACCCTACTTCCCAACCATACCGCCCTTTCCTCCCCCAACGGCAACCTACCCTCCGCACACGAACGCCTTTGATATCCGTCCTCCCGTACCAGACTCGTACGATCAGAACCAAACGATGATCCCAGGTCTCGGCTATGGTCATTCTCAAGGCTTTGGTTGGCCGCAGCCGCAGCAACAGCAACCGACGGTAGCATCTCAAGTTCCTTACCCACAGTCGTGGCAGCCTCCGCGCGAGGGGCCCAACCTCATCCCAGCAGCGCAGTACTACCAGTCGGACGATGCACACAAGCCCCAGGCACCTATGGCCTCGAGGGTACTTCCACCTACTGCGCCCAAGGGGCTTGTAAAGTCAACGAGTGACGATGCCGAGGAGGGCGAGCTAAGCGACGGTGAACTTGACGATGTCTACGAGCCGCAAGACACTGTTCCCGGTACCAGTGCCCAGCAACCTGACAAAGACTCGCGAGCGGCTACGAAGATGGCCGGCCAGAACGGAAGCGATAATACTGGATGCGCAACTGCCACCTGGTACGGCAGTGCGAAAGATGACGGGATCAAGACTCCCGCAGCTTCTGGCATTGATGGTATGTATCCCACGAGAACACTATTTTGGGTCGCGGCTGACAAACAGACAGAACGAGAGCGGTCCGGATCCTACTCCCCTCACCTGTCTCCTCACGAAGTACACTCGCACATTGAAGCGAATAACCAACACAGTAGCTCTCCGCAGACACACGTGTTCCGTGGCCAGGCTTCCCAGTCTTCCCTGGCCGGCGCCGGTCAGCAGTCGGCCAAGAAAGCCATGGAGGATGCTCGGCAAAGAGCCCGGTCGGCCATTCTCAGCTTGTGGCCGCTAGGTATCCGTCAGCAGGACTATGTCGACGAGGGCATCGATAGGACTGTTGTCAAGGACCTCTTGGCCGAGCTGAAACTGGATCCGGGCACCCCAGGCCAGAGCATCATTCCTGGTCTCTCGACTACTACGCAACCACCGGGTCTCTCTCAGTCGTACGGCCAGTCCAGCTCTCAGGCTATCAGTACGCCTGCACCAGCATCAATCTCGAAACCTACGGGTCCGGTGTCGTTCACGGCGGCTAAATCAGCTGGGGAAGAGAGAAAAGATCGAATTGCGCGTCTATTGGCAGCAAAGGGCGCAAAGCCCGCATCGTCGGCGCCTAACAGCAGTACACAGGTTGCGAATACGAGCGAGAAGACAACTGTTCAGCAACAGAAGCTCGATGCCCTTCAAAAGTCCCGTGAAGCTCGAGCTCAGAAGGCCGTAGAACGAAAGGGGTCATTGCAAGCGGCTCAGTCGAAGGAGACATCCCCAGCATCACCGACTCAGAGATCCTTGTCAGCAACCGCTGTTGCCCCGACCGGTCCTTCTGCGAACCAAAATGCCCAGGCTGGTCTCTCGCAGCAACCGGCTCCTCAAATTGCTCCTGCGTCGACTATTCCTGGTCTTTTCATGGCCGCCCCACAACCTGCCTCTGTTACCCAGCGGAAACGACCTGTCGCAGCTGACTTCGTGTTCAGCTTGAATGCCAACAAGCGGCCATTTGGCCACACACAGCCAAGCAAGCCCTTTGTCATCGATGTCAGCGATGCTTCTGACGACGAGGATGTTGAGATGGAGATAGGGTCTCCCACGGACGATCCAGTGAGCATCCAACGCACCGACACGCCGTCTCGAAAGACGGCGTCTTTCCGTGACTTTCCCCCGTTAACAGAAGGTCTTCGCCAGCGCCAGCTCTCTAGCCCAGCTCCGAGCCATGTCGTCACGCCTCAGTCTGGTATCACAGGCACTCAGCCAAAGCAAGCCCATATTGACGTCATGGATAAACAGATAGAGGCCATGAAACGGAAGATTGCTCTAGCTGAAGCTCGCGCCAAGCTGAAGGCTGCAATGAGCAACCAGTCAGGTGTTCCGAAGTCCAACAGACATACACCAGACACCACTCTTGATTCAGAGAGTAGTAAGCCAGGCATGCGGCGAGTTCAGTCTATGGATGCATCCAGTGCATCTGATCATCTCAACGGTCAGACGTCTCCGGCAATGGCCGAACCCAGTAGTTCCATGCGCCTACCCAGGCTGTCCGACAAGCGCGTCAAGGATGACTCGAGCCGAGCCCAAAAGCTCCGCGTGGTCAGCACCAATCTTCCTCTTATGGAGAGTCGTTTGCAGGCGAAGAGGAGCAAGCTTCGCCTTCTTCAATCGCAAATGTCTCGTCTGGAGAGAGAGATTGAGGAGGAGATGGCGGAGAAGCAGAAGTTGACTGAGCAGATGGAACAGCTCGACCAGGACTCCGATGAATCGGGCGAGCCCCAAAATCAGCTCAAGAGCAATTCTGGTTAGTCCTCGGTTCGAGTACATTCACCTTTCGCAAAGATAGCTAATCAACGTCCAGTCGATCCAGTTGTCACTCAGGCAGCGACAGGACTTCAGCCCAAGGCGCAAAGCCCATTGCCTGCCGCCGCAGCAGCCCTTGCGGACCAGAGCACCGATACAACTGCTGCAGCTTCCAAGGCCGCAGCCATCAACCCCTCCCAGGCCCCTTCGACGGAACGTGACAGTAAAGCTTCTACTCCTCTGCGAGAAGATGCGGTCATTGGTAAAGCCGCAACAAGTTCCCCTAAAGACCCACCCTCCACAGAGAACCCAGTGTCTGCTGCTCCCAAGATTCCTGTCAACCACGAGGTCGTAGGTAATAACGCGGAGTCTCAGCCTGCTACAAGTGATGATGCCTCTGATATTGTCATGGGCGAGTCTGATGATTCGAGTTCTTCGGAGCAAGACCGAGAGCCCTCTTCAAATGCCTCCAATCCCCCTGACAACACCACTTCCGCAGTGGCGACAAGGTCTCCATCCTTCAGTCCAGTCGCGGCAGACAGCTCTGTCTCGCTAGTCAATAGTGACACTGACTTGCAGCAACAAAGTTTTAGAGCCTCACCAATCCCTGAGCAGATCTCGCTAGGAGTCAATGAGTCAACTCCTGAGCAGGGAGTTGATGCCGTTAGAGAAGTACACTTCGTTTCACGCCACGAGCACACTTCAACAACTGACTTATTTGATAGGCCCTGCCCGTTACACATAGCACTGCTGAGCCCTCAACCGCCGACCGCTTCACCCCCTACGAGAGTCCGCTCCAGTATTTCCGTGCTTACCGATATCATCCCAAATTTGCTGAAACCGTCCCTGGCGGGCTTCGGTCCCTCACCTACAGCAATAGGATCGACCCGAACCTCCCCATCTGCCCAGATCAGCTGGCCAGCCGCGACTGTCCCAGGGGTGCTGACTGCATTTACCAGCATTTCGAGTCCATGAAGCTGCCGGGTAGGTCGCCTTCACCCCGCACGGACTAATGACCACGTCGCATGTTCTCGAAGCATGTTGAGCGCTGACGGTCGTCCCCCCACGCTCTAGACGACCAAATTCTCCTCCAGCTTGGCGGTACTACACACGAAGGGCCTGAAAGGGCAAAGTTCAATGAGGGGTTGCGGAAGCTGCTCCAAGAGATGAGATCGCAGAACATCAAGGACTTCCCCAGCATTGCACAAGGCATTGTCGACTATCGCAATCGCTTCATCGGCGATCCGTCAAAGATCTTGCCTCTCGGCAACGTCTCGATCTAGATGACGGCAGATATTACTGGACCGGCATGGCTCCTCATATCTCTCAATCATTCGTAATACCCCCTTAAAAGCACCTGATTGAGTACAAAGCTCGTTTCCCTTTCCTTTGGCGTCAGGCAATATTGTTCATTTCCTTCGTCTTTACATACCCCGCATACCCCAAGCTCAGGCTCCAGAGCCAGCCCAAGGGCCTCGGATGGCGTTCGCATGATACCCCCTCCTTGCGTTACTTTGATAAGTGATTCGACCTGATGTAAACATCAGGAATGAGGCATAGGTACAATGGAAAAACGGCAAGTAGGCAACAAAAAAACGGACCTGAGTGGAGATACCACTCTTCAATAGTGAGAGTATATTGAGGGACAACAAAGCTTTGAGGGGCTTGCTGTCGTCTCGAAAGAGCAGTTGGTTAGCCATAACTGGGCCGTACATAAACAGTTTAAATTATGTTTCCAGCTCCTGCACATCTATCTCATGGCCTGGTGACACGGCGTTCAGTATGTCTCGTAGCGATTATACATCTCAATCAACCAGAGAACATATGCATTGTAAGTGTAAGTATGGGTATGGACGATCAGCCTGTTGGACTTTGGCGAAATGGTTTCGTAACGGTTGTAGGAAAGCAAACAGAAGCACGTTCCTTCCGTGCCTTGTATTAACTGTGTACGTCTATGTCCCTGCTCTCTATTTAAGTCTCTCTTGCTGCATCAGGTTGGAAAAGGACCGCCTGGAGCAAACGGCAATTTCGAGAGTGAAAGACAACCAGCTTTCTCTGAGCTGCACCAAGACTCCTATTCAATCGCAATCGGGTTGTTCGTGCCACCAATGTCTCAATATTAATAATTGCACCTCTTATCCACAAGAGCCCCCTCCCCTCCAATTTTTTGCCACAAACGAAACATCCCTCGAGGTCGCCCTCATCGACGCCGGCACCATCAGACTTCTTGGGCGGCGTCCGTTTGGGTGTTGTCCTGGGCGGCGTCCTGGGTGGCGACCTCGTTCTCATCAATAATAAAGTTCACCATCTTGAAGGCCGGCTGCTCCGTGCGCTCCCTCCTGACTATCTCCCTGCGAGGGGGCGGGTTGAGCAGCTCCTTGCTGCAGAAGGCCGGGTGGAAGACGTTGAGGGCCAGCACGGCGGTGGCAATCATGGCGCCCTCGAAGGCGATGAACAGGTCCTGGCGGGCCATCAGGGGTCCGGTCCAGCCACCGCTCAGCTCGACCACGCGGAAGATGCAGCGAGCGAAGATACAGACGGTGGCGAGGCTCAGAGCGACCAGGAAGGCCTTGAAGCGGCGCGAGGCGCGCAGGCACACCATGGCTGGGTGGTTGTCGAGGGTGAGGGAGAGGTTGGGCAGGTGAGCACCGCGGGCGCGGAGGTAGGTGCGCAGGCCGAAGTCGGCGGCAACGACCATGAAGAGGAGCATGGTGAAGACCTGGAAGGCGAGGCCGGCGAGCATGACGTTGTCACCTGTGTGGGTGGACTCATTGCGGTGGTGGGCGACGGAAGCGAGGGCGCCACCAACGGCCTGGAGGACCAGAGAGGTCAGATCGCAGGGGATGAACTAAGGGTTGGTCAGCTGGAGCGTCCCATTTACGTAGGGCTTAGGGCAGGGGGAACTCACAATTCTGGTGTACCATTCGGGCGGGATCCTCGAGTTTTTCGGCTCGAAAGCGGTCACAATCTGGCGGATGCAGAGGTAGATCGCGGCAGCCATGAACGCCGGGGCTGTGGTGAGTGCGCACACCTGTATCATGAAGCCGGACTCTTCCCACTGGTTAGTCCAGCTAATGATCCTCCCGATGTACCCGACGATCTCGGTGAGCACGCCCAGGCCCATGGCGATGTTGAACGCCAGGCCACGGCGGGTGGCGGCGAAGGTGGCCATGAAAGCGATGAGGGCGAGGCCGAAGAGGACCACGAAGAGAGCGTTGGGGACGAGGGCGATGCGGTACATGTAGTACGACGGCACGCCTTCGCAGTAGTTGCTCATGGGCTCCTCGTAGCAGAAGGCTGGCATCCACTCGGCGTACTCCATCTTGAGCTGGTCTATGACCTCCTGCGGAGGGGGGTTCTCGAAGCTGTACCCGTACTGGGTCAGAACGATTTCGAGGTACTTCTTTGCACCCATTATGTTCGCACTTCTTAATGGTCGCTGATTTGGTTATTTGGTTGAATGGCTGAATGGGGTTGTGGTGGTTGTGGTGGTTGGACTCGTGATGTCTGGTCTCTCTGACAAACCTGTCGAGATCTGTGTGCTTTGTAGAATGAGAAAATCAATCCAGTAATGCCGGGAGGGATGGGCCTATTTAAACCCTTCCTACTTTCTAACGGAGATAGGTTGCCTTAGACTTGCGGTCGTACCCAAAAGGATCATCGAGCTTATTTGGACGCATGAAGTGTGGCTTCAACAGCGACGGGGTACTTGTGAACGTAGCTCACGACGACCCACTGAACCATGAGCGACAACATATCAGTCTTTTTCTTGATTATACTGTGAGGATCGTTCTGATAAATATTCTCATGAAGCCATCCATCTGGGTCCTGGTTGGACCATTGGTCACTTTAACCCACTTGGATAGCATGGCAGACAGACCGACCTTGAGGACGCACAACCTACGGGACCACATACTTTGAACAACAACACAAGAAACCCTCTATGTCCTTGGACGTCGTGCCCTCGAAAGTTTTCAGTCTTGGTATGATTGTAGGAAACCCGATTACTGGCACGTTGGATGTTGAAACCTCCGCAGGGGCAGGTGTAAACGAAGAACACAGGGGAGTCACCAAGGTGCTTAGAAGTTGGCAAGCAAGTTCTGGGGTAGAATAATCATTTACGCCACGTCGTTTATTCGTTGACAGCAGATATACTACACGTGTCGTCATGATGTTTAGGTTCAGACAAAATCCTACGCCTACACACTCTCTTTTACGGCGCAACTGTCACACGCTTCTTCTTCTTTCCACTCTTGTTTTCGTCTGCCTTGGCGTTTCCTAGCCCCTTGGCATCGATCGGGCTCTTAGTGATTACACCCCCTAGAGCCTTGCTCGTGCCAAGGCTTATCCCTCTACCCTCGCGCATGCTGTCCAGACTGAGATGGCTTCCTCCACTTCCTCGTCGGACGCCGATACCTTTAAGCTTGGCTGTCGGCGAATCACGCGTATCCAGTGAACTGTCGGGCCTCTCCTCCCCCTCAGCTGCACGGCTACTGGGTCTATCCGGGGATGGCGACGGCGATTCGTCTTCGTTCACAACCTGGGAGTAAGGGGTCCGCATCCTGGTGGTGTGTTGGGGTGATGGAATTGCCGAGGGGCGGTCTCGAGTCTTGTTCTGTGGGGAGGACGTCTCGATACCGTTGCCATTTTGTCCCTCGTCCACAGTGTTTGAGGTATCACTAGCAGACATATCGCTTTCCTTATATGCGTGCCTCGTATAAGCGTTCCCGGAGCCCAGGAGACTTTCCTGTCTCGCGACCTGGTACCGGTCGTACTCCTCTTTGGTATGCAGAGCATCCGTGAAACTGTCGAGGGCATCAAAGACGTGAGGAAAGACTTGGGCATCAACATCGCGGCCCCACAGGAAGTCGAGATGTTCGTAATGAGGGATCTCCGTAGCTACAGTCTGCGGTGGGAGTTCCTTGATCATGACATTGATATCGACCAATGAGTCGCTGCCGCCGTACACAAGGACGATGGGCGTCTTGATGTTTCGCGTGGGATACTTGGCGACCTTGGTGTACTTGCTCGAGGAACTAATCGAGACAGGGGGGTGGACGTCGTCGTCGTACATCTGGAAAGACTTGTTCCGAATGATCTGAAACCAGTGAACCACACTCTTCGTACTGGTGAAAGAGTAGAGATGCGGGTATGCGGCGAGTTTTTGACTGAGAGCCATGTTTTTCGTCTGCCAGTTGAACAAAAAGGAAAGACCCATATCAATGAGCCTAACAAAGATGGGAGGGTAGAGAATGGACTGCCACATGTTGGCTGAGCTGAGAATAGATCGACGACCGAAGAGGAGGAACAAGACCTGAGGCGAGGCCTTGATCAAGGCGTCGACGATTCCATTAGAAAGGCCGGCAGGAGACATGGCCGGTGCCAAAGCGATGAACACATTGACCTGCTGGTTAAGTTTTGGGTGGATTGCAAGGGTTGCGAAGGCCTGCGCAGTCCCTTGTGAGAAGCCAATGTACGACAAACTCTCCTGCTCCGTCGTCCCGAGGATGTAAGCGATGCTGTCTGGGATATCATGAAAAGCGAACTCGTCGATGGAGAAGTTCCAGAATTCAGGCGACTTGGGTGAGTGATGTACCGACTTCTTGGAATACTTGTTGCCACGGTTGTTACCAAGCTTGAATACCCATCAGCGTTGCGTTCAAACGAATGCGAGGTGGAACACTGACCCAAACATCGTAGCCCTGCTCAGCAAGCACAAAAGGAAGGCATCGCTGTTCACTAGTCAAGCAAACCCAGACTTCCGAGTTCATCAGTAGACCATGGTGAAGATACACGACCTTCTTCTTCAAGCTTCCCGGTCCACTGTTGACCTTCTGCCCCTCCTCTCCTTTTTTCCAGGCCAGGCGGTGTAGGCCAAGGAGATATCCATCTTTGGTCTGAAGGACGTGCTCCTCGGCTTCGTAACCATACAGGTGGCAGAGGTCGACAAAGTCGGAGGCGTCTCTCACGGACGTCGAGATTGCTGCACAACACCCCTTGCGGTTAGTCCAGTCGCATCGCGAGGGTCGAACGGCCTCCAGGGCACCAACAATTCTTACGCTGCTCTACGCGCTTGTTCGCCGGGGCAGAGAACCGGTGGAAGAGACGACGGGAAGCTCGATATAAGAGATGGATGAGCGGCGAAGCTGAGAGAAACCGGATTAGCTGGCTAGGACGCCACTTTTGGGGGGAAGGCGCAAGTTCGTACGTAGAGCCAGAGTCAAGACGCGGATGATAGCTTCCAGTCCGACCAGGAGAAACGACCCCACCAAAGCCAAGTATTCAATGCTGCGCAATGCCATCAGTTCCAGGCCACGTCTTATCCGCGAACTACAGCGTATTGGGGGGGTTAGGACGAAGGATGGGGAGGAGGGGAGGAGGGGAGGAGGAAGAAGCTTAAGCTCAGCGGGCATCGAGGGTTTCTTACACGTTTAGTCGACCGATGAAAGGGATAGCCATCGTGGTACGCGATTTGGTTGGAACGAGATTAGTCTAAAAAAGAAAAGCTGTGGCGCAACAGAATGGGTATGTCTAGGAGGGAAAAAGGAGGGGGATTTCAAGCTATCATCACTCGCAAAACCGAGAACAACAAAAGCTTAAGTTCCGAATTCCGGATTGGCGATGGACAAGGGCGATTTGCGTTGGCGCTTGCGCCAAATGTGTCACCGTCACCGTAGCGTTTCTAGAGGTGGACGGAGGTGGAAGAGAGGACGGGAGGGAGCGATGCGTGTGAGGGTGATGTCACATGTGAGATGCAGCAATGATCTGTGAGCAGGAAGCTCCTAAAAAGGTCCAGGTCCAAGGTCACAGCACACTTGGGGGTATCACCTACTCCTGTCCCAATTACTATCCAATCACCGATCTGACAGTTGTGTCAGTGGCAGGGACTCCGTCGCGTGCTCACTCATGGTTGGGCGACGGGGCCTCGACCCTTGATAGATAGGTACCTCCGTGGTAGTGTGGAGTTTCTTGATTGAAGGACTGCAGGGGACATCGACCTTGGCGGCCTTCTGCACCTTGCAGAAACAACCCGCTGCACTGCACGGGAGCGGGTCCTTGAGACACGCCCTTGACCAATCAGAGGCCGCTTGAATTTTTGCCCAGTACTCGTCGCGAACTCGAAGCTCCGACAGCTCCAAAGGTCGGTCGCACCACCATCCGCATCTGTGTCTATCCACCGAGGGAATGCCACAGCACCGTTGCCGCCATGCCTAGCTCTTGCAAAGAACTGCGTATGCCTTCCCTCACCCACAGCCCTGGGCAGTCTTCAGCATCAATGTACTGACCTACCCAGGCGAGGCCCTCGCACAATGCCTCCAGGAATCCGAGTGCGTCATGGTCCAGCGCAACAGCGCCTCCGACTGCCTTCGCTCCCCCCTCGTCGAGACCCTCCCCACAAAGTGCCAGCAGCTCAAGAAGGGCTTCGGCGAGTGCAAGCGCGGCATGGTCGACATGCGCAAGCGCTTCCGCGGCAACATGCCCGTCAACTACAAGACCATGAACGACGCCGAGGCCGGCAAGGGCTACCAGCTGTACGCCGGGCGCCCGGCCTTCGCTGGCGGCAGGGGTGAAACTGACGGCAACGAGCCCGCTCCCAAGGACTGGCGGGATGTTGAGAATGAGCAGTACAGGAGAGAGCAGGAGGCGGCCCAGAAAAAATAAGGAGACTCGGAAGAGAAGAGCAGGAAAAGGGGCAGCCGAGAGAAGGCACGGACACACCACTTGTACAGTCTACGTGTATGATCTGGACAGCGAAGCATCGGGAGGCGTCATGGAGTTTTACAAGAACTTGGTCTAATCACCGGATGTATGGGTCAACCCCACGGTGCATCTTTTGGGTTCTCACAAGACATCCCGACTCAACGATAAGGTGTAGCATACAATCGCATTGCTTGCGAATTCCGAGATCCTCGTGTGGAAACTCAACTTCGAGCCAGTTGGGTTGGGCATTAGTAATGCCCGGCCTGGTCTGGTTACACGAAAACATAGAGTTCGCTCGGTTCTCGCCGGTGAAATAATAACTGCACGCTTGTCCGGGAAGAGTTACGAGCTCATCAGCCTCACAAGTGTTATTGGTAAGCTCTGATCGAATACTCAAAGTTCATGCTACAGGTACAGTTGCTCTAGGGGACAGAGCAAGCTCATGCATGCGAGCCGCGATATCTCCCATCCCGCCAACCTCCGTGTGATCGTCGTCGGACTTCTAGTCCTCGTCGTCGTCGTCGTCGTCGTCGTCATCGTCGACGAATCCCTGGTTGTCAGATGGCACGTAGTAAGGGCCCCGAGGATCGGCCCAAAGCTCGTCTGCGTCCAGTCCGAGTCTTTCTGCAATCATATCTGTGGCTTCGCGCTTCGCCTGGAGGACTCGGGCAGCCAGGGCCTCGTCATCGTCTTGGTCCTTCTGAGGAGCATAAAGGTCAACGTTGGCGGCTCCAGACAATCGGTGCAGTCTGAAGGCAAGCCACTGAATAGATACAAGCTCCCAGTTGGGGATTTTGCTGCGGTCTTCTGACCAGATAGTGAGAATGTGGCCGGTCTCTAGGGGAGTGGCATGTGCGTTGTCACGCACATTGTCATGATGCCACTCCCCCCACATCTGGCGTGGATCCGCATCCACCGTAGGAGGGCTGTCATCCAGCCCTCCTAACTTAGTCTTCTGAAGCCAATGGAATCTAAGCTCGATTCCGTGCATCAGCTTCATCTCGTCGACAGACTTGGTCTGTTTGCCTGCCGCTCTCTTGTGCGGCGGCTGATCTTCGGCTGCCCCCGCACCTCTTTTCACGGCAGACGGCCCACTTCCAGGTTTCTCCTGAGCATCCGGCTTCTGGACGATCTTATAATCTTGTAGGATGCGAATAGGCTCGAGGCCAAATACCCCATCGTCCCACAACTTGTGAAGCTGATTACTCAGAGTAATCATGTTTGCCGGTGAGTCAAGGAGGTCGAAATCACCAGGCGTAGTCCTTTCGCCTGCGGAGGTCGTTTGGTTCAGGATTTCCAGCATTTTTCTGGAGAAATCAAGGCCCAGAATGGCTATGAGAGGCACGATGACGTTTCGCTGTATTTGTTTGCGTCGCGAAAGCGACCAAAATGGGCACACGTGACATTCCTCTACAATTGCCGAGTGCGTCAGAACACACCGGAAACCGTCTCGTTTTAGGGCCTTTAGGTATGGTATGTTAGTAATAGGAATTGGAAATGTCAGAATTGCAGAAACTACGTACCGCGTTTCTCTGTGCTTCACTGCGCACCCAAATCTGCTCCTTTTCTGATGTAGGTGTCTTACTCACTGCAAGCTGTTAGTCGTTAAACACGGGATGAGAATGGGGATGAGAATGGGGATGAGAATGGGGATGAGAATGGCGATGAGAATGGCGATGAGAATGGGGATGAGTGATATCGGGAGACTTACTCCACCATATCAGTCCGCTCACGTTGCAGCAAGCCATCAGGAAAGCTTGGAGCGTACTCTGCTTGGCGTCGGCATGACCAGTGTGCAAAAGATCGCGGAATTTGATAAGTTGGCCCCATTCCATGGTCAACATTACCGCCCAGCACTTCGCAGATGCGAGTGTCTCTTTGAAAATATCGATAGAGATCACATCTTCAAGATCTTTATCGTGTTGGATAAGGTGGTGAATCTTCCTCATCACCTCGCGCCGACGCCCCAGGGTTGCGTTTTCTTTTATGTCGTCTAGGTAATCGACACGGCCGGCCATGTCTCGAGGCACACGAGCCTTGAAGTTGCTCTCGTACATCTCGACATCGCGGTTCGTTACTCGAGTAAGTGGGTCTGTATCCTCCAACTTCTCTCGCAGACTGTTGCAGAGTCTGTCGATTTTTTCCTTGCTGACGAGCAGCGGCAAGTTTGCGTTCATTGTGATTCCTGAGAGAGTGGGCGCGTTAGAGATGGTACGATTAAAGTCGAGGTAAATGATGAGATGAGAGTGAGGATGGCGAGATGGATGAATAGGGTGCTTACAGGAAGACCAGCCAACCCCAACCAGGTCGACAACAGGTAGGATTGAACACCGCCAAAGAGACGATCGCGCAAACACAGTAGACTAAAATTACCGAAGCTCGATAGAGAAGAGGAAGAAAAAGAGAGAAAGTCGATTGAGTAGATATCTTATAGGTAGGTGGTTAAACCAAGCTACCTGCCCAGGTAGTTAGACCAAGCTAGGTACCTGCCCAAGTCGGTAGGTGGATCCACAAGGTACGTACCGCCACCCACCTACCTCACCTCGACACGTACATCTACAGACACCTAGGCACCTACAAAGCTTCTGCCCTATGGCTTGACAATGTTCTAGACAGCCATGTTACGCAGAGAGCTTTCCTGAACTTAAGCTTCTACCTTGTCAGCTAGAGGAAATAGAGCTGTGACTCAGAGCATAAGGTTTCGGCAACCTTGGTTTTACCAAGGCCATCTACTACAAAGACAGTTGGAACGTGGGGGGTTAACTACCTACATCGTCACCCGCGACAAGAACTTTATCCTAAATTGGGATTGAGTGCGGGGACTGATCTGTGGCTGCTATAACTAGAGCCGAAGCTGAGCAAAGGTGAGCAGAGGGTGAGCAAACATGAACTCGGTGGCTCAGTCGCCCACTTCCGGCGTGGCTGGAGCACAAGCGGTCGAGTTCAGCAGGGGGCGCAGCCGTAGAGGGCAACAGGCGAGTACGGGGTTGGGTCGGCTGTCAATGACGCAGGCAGTTCGAGCAACTCGGCGTGCGTCTCGTTTCTGCAGAGGGCGTAGGGTCTCGTCAGACGTCGTAAGGTCAATAGGAGATATGGCTGTTTTGGCGCGGCAGGCACAATGTCCTCGTCGTCGGACATCATGTTCGCCAGGCGGAGACCAAGTTCGTTATAGAGGCCACAGCTACAGCACAGGCCCGGCCAACCACATACCGCATGTCAGGGTAACGCTTTGCCAGTTGGCGGTAGGTTTCTTCGCTAGCCACGTCCGGATACCAAATGCAATATGGCGTGTCATCGTCGGTTGTTATTTCTGGGATGGCATTACTCATAATAAGCTGGGCGTTGCGGGCACGGGCAAAGGCTCTGTTGTGCGATTCTGAGCAGAGCCTATGGACATGTTCTGACATTGTAAAAGCGTGATAGTGCCGGATACCGCGTATCACGCACGCTGCGACCCAGTGGCCGAGGTCAGTCGGCAGCCGGTGGCCACGGAGTGCGTCCCGATGGTCGTCGCCCGGCGGCGGCCGTGTCGTGAGCGCAGTGTACATCCCCTCAAATTAAAACACTTGTCTCAGTCGGAGGCACTAATAACATGCATTAAAGATGAAGAGGAGGAAACCGGTCCAGTCAAGGACACGGCGGATGGACAAGTCTCTTTTAGTGTCAGCACATGTGTTGGAGCCACTGGAGAGAGTCATATTATCCACGATGACTCAGTGGAGCCAGAATGCTTTTAACCCCTTTAGACCAGGGTTCCAAAGTCCTAATCAACAGAGATAGTCACCTGTTGACCCTAGTAAGCATAGGGGTAGGGGCTCACGCCTAACTGTTGGTGATAGCCGGTTTCCGGCCACCGAGCCACCGCAGTGAGGCAAGAACGAGAAGCGGCAAGTTCTTCCAAAAATGCTTGCAGTAAGATCAGGCAGACAAAGTCTTGGCCAAACTAAGACAACAAGGGAGTATGTTAGGATTGAGAGAATTCGGAGTGCTTTTCATGTGAGTCAGCTACACTCTCCGCAGAAGTCCAGTGAATGGGTGGGTGCGAAAATGGAAAAATCGGTCAGACAGTTGAAAAGTACAGTTGGTGAAAGACTTTCTAAGCTAGCCGACAAGGAAGCAAGTGTTCATGGTCCTCATTGGCTTATCAATGGGAGAGCGGATGGGATCCCGAATTTTCCAATGGGTATGGTCGTATGTGACAGTTTCAGCGCAGAAGGGTGGCTATAATGCCTTGCTTCGCAGTTGGACAGTACAGGTGCCAAGCGTAACGAATCGTAGCTAACGTAGTCGCCAGGTGGACTTTCTCAAGAGAAAATTAGCTCATAGTCTTTGATTTTGTTTGTGTCGATTTCAAATTTGTCGTTGTACGCAGTTAGTAGGCAGGCATCACTGCCTCTTTTGCCCCCTTCCCCATCTCACATTTCGTGACAGGAGCACTCTTACAAGACGTTCAAGACGCTACAGGCTCAGAAATTCAACATCAATGTGAGCAGAGTGGACGAAGAATAAATTCGGACCACCAAACTATTTCTTTGAAATAAACCCAGTAGTTGAGGAAGACTATACCGGCTTGCAGGCCAACGTGTAAGTCTGTATCAACCTAGCAGCGTCCACAACAGCAGCTCCTGCTATTCTTCAAGGACTCGTCCACCATTCCCCAGCTGCTGCCCTACTCGGGCATATTGGCGTGGGCCAGCTGAAAGGAACTAATTAGTTGAAGCCTTTTGGGGATTCTCGAACCACGGGTGTTGGGTATAAAGGATCCTAAGACATGATACACCGGCAACTTTGGATCGTAAGTGCTGGCTCGACCTCCTACGGATGATAGCGTAGGCAGCACAGGAATACCTCCTCGCTGCTTGTGTGTGTAGCTACCAATGTTCACAACTCTTCTTGCAAGAGATCGGGAGAAGAGAAACATCTTAAGCGCCGAGTATAGCCAATATTAACATTAATATCACAGTATAGCCATGCTTTGGCATTCACACCCCTCCACAGTTGGCGGGATACACAGTCTCCGTAGTACCAGCATCCTTTGCCAGTCTCCAATGAATGATCTTCACACTGCGTAATTATCCTCCCGGCACCCCATCTCTCCCACTCCACTCGTCTCGTCCGCCTCAAAGTCTGGTTGGTCGATGCTCCCTCGGAAGCATCTTAATCCCCCGCACCAACGAAAAGGTCCAGACTCAGCAAGGGACCCTCCACGCAATTTCGGGCCCGTACCATCCCTACCTGCAACAAGACAGAAGGGATATAGATACGAGCCTATCCCAAGCGCTTCACAGGGCGTGCCCAACTCTCGGCGTTGTGATGGGCTGACTTGGAAAAATAAAAATAAAAAAGAATTGGCGCCCCTCTCCCGTTCTATCACTCCTCTTTCTCGAGCCCGTCCCTATCTCACGAAGAGACCGGGCCAGGCGAGTAAAGATGGCTCCTGCCTTCTCAAACCTGTCTCCTTATCTCGACGGAGAGACCAGGTCCAGGCGAGGCGGGCGGAACAGAGGACCGGACGGGAAAGAAAAAGAAAGACACCGGTTGCTTCAGGCTCGCGCGGCTCTGTCCAGCGAATTCGCATCGTCCGCGGCCAGCCACACCGGGGTATCGATGGTTGTGCCGCAGGTTTGTTTGCCCCCGGCGCGTGGACTCTTCGGACGGATCATCGACGCTTCAGGGCTCGGCGGAGCCTTCCAGCGGTTGTTGAAAAATGTTTCAGAAAGTGTGTCGACTCTCGACTGGTCTTCGGCAGATGTCCCTGCCGTGAAACAGGAAAGTCGGACAAAAGAATTAGTTTGCTCAACGCTTCAGATCAAGGCTTCCCCAAGGGAGAGATGGCCTTGCCAGCGGAACAAACAAAAGAGGACGGCACTCCTGGCCCTGCTCAAACGTTGCGGCATGGTTGTTGGGGTCTCAGTAGGGTGAGCTCAGATCGTGGCTTGGTGATTGACAGTCATGGCAGCGGAACGGGGGAGGCCGGGTTGAGATGGTGACAAGGAAAAAACGCAGCATCCTTCGGATGAGTTTGGCTGAGAGGATTCGGCTACGCGGCGCATCCTGTAAACGAGAGTAGTATTGCGCTGAAGAGGAGAAGGAAAGAAAATGCTGAGACGAAGGACGGACGAAGATGTCTTTATACACGAAGACGTCAGTCAGGGTAGACAGAGTGGTGAAGGTGGAGTTGAAGTCGAGAAAAGGTTTGGGAACGGGATTAGGTGGAGGGCCAAGCCGCCGTTCGGCGAGATCGGCATTGTGAGTGACGCTCCACCGCCAACCAGGAGAGGCGCTAGCGGGAGTTGACCCGCCTTATTCCGGGCCCTGTAGATGTTGGGACCTGTGGACTGTGTTAGGGTACCATGCAGTTTCTAGCTCGGGTGGTGGAAACGTCTCAACCTCCCCCCTCCTCCAAACACCCGCCACCACAACCTGTGACAATCTTACCCTCGCGTCGACCGACCAGGCCCAAACCCCTTCAATGAAACCACGAACGACTCGCAAATCCTACCAACAAGAACCCGATGGCCTGATGTCTGAAACTTGAAATTGCAAATCACCGATCCGTTACACGCCGCCAACCTGCCCGTTTATCTACTACCTCTGCCAGTGGTCACCCCCGCGCCCCCACCTGTTACCAAACGTCGTCATCCAATTGCTTATCCACGACGTGACGCCGGCATTGGATTCGACGTTCGCCTCGGCATTCCCGTCGTCTCGTCATCTTGCTCTCGTCGTCAGTGGGGCGACCGAGTCTCAGGGACGCATCTTCAACTCGTAGCCAATCCCATAAGCTTAATCAAATTTCTCGGCAGGCACATATTGTCCTCTCTTCCGACGACGACGACGACGAGGAGGCCGGTCCGCCAGCTAAACAGCGATCTTGCCTGTAGCGTAAGCTGAAAGCCTTTCATCCCAAGGAGTGTCTTCTCCGGAAGTCCTCATCGAGTCTGCACGTAGACTACGTCGGTTGGAAAGGCGGGCGGACATATTGCAGCATTAGTGTTTCGTTCCTACGAGCATCTCCGAAACAGCAAAGACCGCTGTATCCAAGATGGCCCCGACTATCATACAGTGGATCCTGGATACCCGGCAGTTGTGGCCCGAAGCCACTGAAACGAAGCAGCTTGAGCAAGTTGTACGTAGTACTTCAATTCTCACCCCGAATCGCGCTTTGCTCCCAACCCCTTTCGCGCGACGGTGCCTTTCAAACCTGCTCCAGCTGTGAGCGAACCCTCCAGAAAGAATGAACCTCGTTCCCAAACCGCACCCCTGAGGATTGAGAAACATACTGACGCGAAACCACTACAAGGCATCCCGAGCCCTCGACCTTCTCAAACCCGAAGAGCGCAAGGCAGTGCTAAAGTATTACCATGTACGCGACGCGAAGTTGTCCCTGGGCTCGCATCTCTTGAAACGTTACGCCATCAGCCGATTCTGCCGTGTCCCCTGGCCTGAGGCTACTGCCATCCGAAACGAGCGTACCAAGCCTATCTTCCGCGCCGCCGACGGTACCTCCCCGCTGAGCTTTAATGTGAGCCATCAGGCCGGCCTCGTCGCACTCTTCGCGATACACGGGTATGACGCTGCGAACGGCCCAGTCGACGTTGGCGTGGATGTGGTATGCACGTCAGAGCGCCGCACAAGGGACCACCGCATATTGAAGAACGAGGGGTGGCCTAAATTCGTTGACATCCACGCTGATGTGTTGTCGCCCCTCGAGGCGAACTTCCTCAAGTGGCAAGCGCTCGCCGCCATCCCGCCGGGATTGAAGCCTGGGGCCTCGGCGGAGGATGCGGCAGACTTCAAGCTGCGCTGCTTCTATGCGCTGTGGTGCTTGAGGGAGGCGTACGTCAAGATGACTGGAGATGCGCTTCTCGCGCCGTGGCTTGGAGAGTTGCAGTTCAAGAAGTTCAGGCCACCGGCTCCTACAGAGAGTTTCGAGGCCGAGGGCGAGGCGGTCATGGATCACGAGATTGTGTTCAAGGGTACCAGGGTCGAGAATGCAAAGATATCCCTCAAGGCTTTGGGCCCAGATTACATGACTTGCTCTGCCGTCCGAACACCTCAGCGGAAAGAGGACGGATTGGCATTTGAACTCGGCCCGTATAAAATGTTGGACATAGACGAAGTGCTTGCTTTTGGGGAGAGTCATCAAAGTTAGTTGCTCTCGTCTCATCATGCTAATCAACACAGACATTCCGCTTCACTGTTTTACACGATGCTCTTTGAAGATACAATCCCATAATCTCTGTGCTTCTTATGCTTTGCTATCGTGGCTGGGCCGAGCGGTTCCCGATGTCATGACTAGATACCAAAATATTTGGCAGTGTCAGAATCAATCATGGCAACGGCACAAATCGGTTGTACAAAGGGGTGCCATGCTCCGCACCAAAACCTATCAACCATCTAGAATGAATGCGGATAATCAAAGATGATTTTGACTATGGGGACCACCTACGAATTGCAAACCATCCATTTCGCAGCTTACGGCACGTCCACAAGCGCCAAGTCGGGCCAATGTGAACTTAAGTCGAAGATGCCCTTTGACCGGATCCACGAAGGCGGATCCTCTTCCTCGGGAATCTCTCCAAAAGCGTCGACGGGGAACAGCCAGAACCCAAGCGCCGGGCGCGGCGCCGCGGCGAGGACCTTGGGCCCGTCAAGCTCGGGCAAACTAGGCCGCAGCCCGGATGCCGTTGTAAAGCACCCGGCCGGCCGGTCTCCCCCGCCCCCAGGCCGCGGGGAGTCCCACCCGCGGAACCACCACTGCAGCTGCAGCCAGTCTAAGTCTTCCTCGTGCAGCGCTCGTGCGGCATCTTCGCGGGTACGGATGTCCTCCTCCCGGTCCGAGGCGACCATCACGCGCACGTCGACGCCTAGGGCTCCCTCGACGTCCTCGGGGCTTATGCCGAGCTTGCGCAGAAGCATCCTCCACCCGAGGGGCATTTCGCGCCAGTCGAGCACGCTGCCGCCGACGTTGCGCAGGTCGCGGGAGACGTCCCGTGAGTCCGGACGCGGGGGCTCGAAGAATGTGAAAGCCGGGAACACGGGAAAGCCGTAGTTGAAGATGTTGGCGCGTATCCAAGTCAGCACGTCGAGGCCGCGGCCGCCGGGGGGCGTGTTCTTGAACCAGATGGTCTTCAGTGCCGCGAGCGTGTCTTTGAACGCCGCGAGGGCGCGCGCGTCGAGTGAAGCGGGCGACAGAGACGGCATCTCGGCGATGCGGAAGTGGTTGTCTTCCACGACCAGGTGCCGGAGGCCGCGACCCCATAGGTCGTAGGCGCGAAGGTCGTGAAGAAAGTCGAAGAAGAGGGACAAGGCATTATTGGCCGAGATCCTCAGGTAATCCCAGTCCAAATTCAGGCGCAGCATGGGGCTTTTGCCCTCCATATCGACGCTGGATTTAAGGTAGCACGGGATGTGCACCGGGTAGAATGCGAGAACGACCGCTTGCGCCTCCTTGTTCACCATCATGATATTGTCAGGAAGCAAAACATGCCGTTTTGGAGTAACCACTTTGTAGTGGTTCCCGCTGACGGGCCGACCTAGACCATTTAGTAAAGAGTATCGTTCAGCAATCTTGGCCTCGTTGCTCGCTCCCGTTTCTACTCGCTTTTCGAGAACGATGTGTATCATACGATGACGCTGGAGGGAATATTGCCAGATGAGAATGCGGAGCTCCGCTGGCAGCTGCGCGAACAGGCTGAAGCTTCGGTGGCCAGCTTTTGGATGAGTTGGGTTGAACAGCTCGAGATGCGGTCGCCTGGGCGTCATCGTCACGGGTGCGACATCTGCGGCCGTGGGGTCTGTTTGTGAAAGTTACCAATGTGACAAGCAGGACGCGCACGAGATGTCCAGAGAAGCGTTCGCAGATTATTGCCCTTCCTCACGTCAGACCGGAATCTGTGAGGAGTAGGTATGGGGCGTTCAGCCATGTCTCACTTTCATCAAGGTGCAGCTGTAGCCGCTTCCCAGGTGACACCGTGGGCGTTCCTCCAATCGGGTGACCCGGTCAAGGTTGTCAGTCAGAGAACCATGGACTCGATTTTCCTCAATGGTGTTCTCTTCGTGTTTCTAAACTCGCATGTCTGGAAATGATCTTGGTTTCCGGGGGAGTAAGGTTTCTCGCTGCGGGTCGAAATAGTAATTGTCACAACATGTCTTCATCATCTTCACATGTCAGCGACGGGCCCAGTTCAAGGTTATTTACAGAAGGGCCAGCTGTTTTTCGAGGTGCGATCCAAAAGTTGGAGAATGGGCAGGAGTGAGACTGTGCTTACGCAGATTCGAACTTGAAAAGTTTCCAACGTGTGATTCCACATTCTGTCCTAGCAATTCCTAGAGCTTCCGATACTTCAGCGTGCTACATATGTAGATCGGCGTGAAACCTATGTAGGATGCCGTGAATAGCATCATTCTCTCATAGATATAGGATCGAAGTCCTCAGCTACACTTTTGACCCCTGATCCTCGAGCCCTTTCCAAATCTTCTCGCCTTCGTCAGCAAGCTTAGGTATTATTGCCCCCTTTCCACTCGGTGGGTCGGCATCATACAAGGGAACGACTCTCGTCGCGTCCTTCGTGACCTCCAAGATCGTCCCATTGCCGTACTCCGGGTTCTCGCAGAGCTCCAGCATGCCTCCCGCAACCCCCTCGGGCTCTATGAACAGCTCTGCGCCCTCACCCTGCGCCAGGTGCTTCTTACCAGGATCCTCCAGCCATAGAGGCGTCTATCGCCGCGCGTCAGCAATCTCTTTTGCTGGTTGAAGTGTAAAGTAAAGCTTGCCATGACCGCCCCTGGCGCAACGGCACTGCACCGAATCCCCATTCGGTCTCGCATACCGCCGAGGCACCGCACGAACTCGTGCAGGCCATGCTTGGTTGTTATGTACAGTGGCGTCCCAATCCCACATGCGTGGCCCGCGATGCTGCTGACATGCACCAGGCAGCCGTTCCGTCTCTGCTGCGTCCAGTAACCGATCGCGAGCTGGCTCAGCCGGATCGGGTGCGTTAGATTCACATCCAGCACGGCATAGATACCGGGCTCTGCATCCGCGCTGTCGCGGGACTCGGTCTGTCCATTCAACTCAGTCCTTGGTGGCTGCCAGAACGAGCTCCACGCGGGCTCGAAGATCCCGGCGCCCGGGATGACGATGTCGATCTGAGGGAAGGAGGTCAAGGCCTTAGCCCAGAGCTTCGTGAGCTGTGGCCAGGAAGCCACGTTGGTAGATTGGAACAGGGCTGAGGGCCGGCTCGGCTGCTGCGAATGAGGGTACTGGGTCAAGAGGGAGGATGCGCCGGGGCGGAGAGCGAGGTCGCCTATCATGACGGAGCAGCCGCGCTCGAGGAGCAATTTGGCGAAGGCAAGGTTGATGCCTATGAGGTGTGAGTGAGGTGTACGTAGTGAAAGGGTGCCGACAGGGTGTACCTGATCCCGCACCAGTGATCAAGGCGTATTTGCCAGCAACGGAAAGAGTCATGACTTCACAAATCTGCAGTATTGGTGTTGCAGTGAGCAAGGCGATTCAGCAGATAGAATAGATCCGTCATGACTGTCGGGTAGCGGAGTCATGAAATACTTCGGGCAGGTGGATGTGTGTCTTAGACAGACATCGGTCTCTGCCTCATCCCTTAATGGGTGTGTTTATCCGATGATACCTTGAGACCTAGACCCGAAAAGGTTATTGTTGACATACAGTGTAACTTGAGACCCCGCCTGTTCTGAGCGGTCTTTCAAAACAGTACATTTTTTTGTGCTATGCTGGTGGTGATCTACTAGTATGTGTGATGTGATCAGGCAGAGGTAGACTATCTATTATAGTGATGCGAGGAGAATTTCTCATCGTCACCGACCAAATTACTATTATAAGCACGTCAAACGCCAGTCTCCAACACATACGACCATACCCACTGGAGAACTCGGGATCCCGTCCGCTCTCCCATAGATAAGCCAGTGAGGGCCGGATTAGTAGTTGAGTCGGTGACGATCAGCGAACACCTGGTGTTGTATGTTCTTTTTGGGAGTTAATCAACATTATGTTGTCTAAATCGGTTGTAAGTAAGCAACACAGCGCTTATGCTGTCTTGACACCTTGTTCCTCATCGACGACTTGTCGAACTGCATCATTCGAAGTCACAACGCCCTCTTGGCGGCGATCATTCTCGTCGTCTTCCGGCTTGCCTTCTCTGGTGGCCCATCCATCGACGTACCGCAACGTCTGCCGGCTCCAAATCCTGTTCATGAAGAACAGCCGCACCGGCACCAAGATGATGATGATGATAGGAAACCCAGGAGCAGCCACCGTCAAGGTGACGCCAAACACAATGCCTGTGAGAACTATCTGTGTAATGGTGAAAAAATGAATCCCAGCCCAGCTAGCGTCTTGAGGCAGAGCAGGGAGTTCCGAAATCGGTGTGAGGAGGTGCCAGACCCTGGCGAGAATCGGGTTCACTCTTAGCGACTGGTAGCCCATGAACATGAACAAGCCTGCGAGGACCGATGTCGGTGTGAAGCCCAAAACATGTTGGAACGGAGGCGAGACGAACAGCAGAATCCCCGCCGCCTGGATGAAGGGCGAGAACCGTTGCTCGTACACCCGCAAGACGGGCTTTGCGGGAGGATCGTCGCAGGGTTCGGAATCCATGGCCTGGGGATCCTCATAGACCGTGTACATTAGAGACTCGGAGTGAAGCGGCGCCTGCGGCAGTAACCCGTTGGCTGGCGGAATTCCAAGGATGCCGCACATAATGGTTGTCGTGCCCAGAAGCATGACATCCCACGCATAACCCCCGGGTTTCTGGACTCCGTACCTCTTGGCCGTGCAGATGATGCTGCTAATCTCGTGGTCAAAGTAAAAGAGGACGGTTATGATGATGCCCGGAATGATTGCAATGAAAACCCACTCTATGGGGAGCTTCCAGAACTCAACAAAGAAATGATCCCGGCTCGGCAACGAGGGTCTGAACGTCTTGGAGACCTCGAGGCGATAGTGTGCGAGTTCGGCCAGGTCACCGACGTACGGCATGCCGATGAAAAAGACGATGGAGATGGCGGCAGCGTACTCCGTCAGGGCCATGCGGACGTACCTGTGGAACAACGGCTTCCATGAGACGGCCGTGGAGAGGAAGATGGCAAGCAGGCAGGTTCCCACGGCGCCGATGATAGAGTATAGGAAGGCGGCCATCGAGACGACGGCCTTTGTACGTTGGATCTCGAGGACGGCCTTGTGGAAGTAGATGATGCTATTAAGGAGGGAGAAAATGTCGGCGCTAAAGTCTGTGACGTATTGCATGGTGTAGTCGTGGGCGTTGAAGATGGCCAGGAGGTAATGCATCCACCCCGAGTGAATGAGCGACCACGCCATGAAGGGCAGGAAGGGAATCTGGAGAAGTCAGCGTGACATCGTACCACGGTGTAAGTGCGGCATACCTTGAATGATTTCTCGCATAGAGAATAGATATTCTCTGCCAGTACTGAGAATGGCCCAGTTACACCAAGGATCGTTAATGGCTGAGCCGAAAACCTGGAAAGCGTGTTAGTCGAATCCCATACAGATGATTTAAACTCCATAAAACCCCCTTCGGAGTCTTTGAGCATCAACTCACAAGGCAAAGATAATTCCGCAAAGCCCCGTACTAAAAACAACCTCGATCGTGCCCCACGACTGCCCCGTCAAGACGTATAAGTCGCTGGCAAAGGTGATACCAGGTAAGATATTGGTGAACAAGACGTATATGGCGCTCGCAATCACAAGCTGGTTGAACACAGTCCAGTCCGAGATATACCGCAGCGTGAAATTCCCAAAGTCCTCCTTGAGCAGCCGGAACGGCCTCAACTTGCCACCTCGGCGGAAGTAACTCCGCCACCTGCCACTGCGTCGTCGTTCCGCGCCCGCGTCACTGATGGATACATCCTCACGATCCCCTCGCTTCTCAGAATACCACTGTCTTAGACGAAGGCTGCTCTGAACGTGCGACTCGTGGGCCGGTGTTATGGCTTCACCCTGAGACCGAGGCGGCACTACCTCGTGGCATTCACTGTCGTCGGGTCGCCCCTCGGCCGCGAAAGTTGAGGTCATTAGAAGGTCCGTCCTGCTCGAACGGAGTATGATAGCAAATAAATATATATGGAACAATGCTAAGCAAAAGATAGGCCCGGCGATTTGTCGTTACCTAGATACACACAACGAAAGCGAAGGAACGACGTCCACGGCGGCGCCAAGAGAGCATTATATCGGATGTCATGAAGGGGGGTCTTCTCGGGTCTTATCCGAAAACTCTTTATTAGACAAATCGGCCCAACGCGCGGCCAGATTGGGTTTTTCGTCCCAACCATCTGTACCCTGGCCCGACAGTCACGGCACCAGCTTTCCGGCCAATGTCAACTTGCACAAGTAGGTATAATACCTGAGCGGTTTCAAGGTTTTCGACAAATTGGATTGCCGAAGTCGCCACGTGCTCTCATTGGCTGTCTTGGCGCAGGTGCTAGTCCACCGGGCTGGGTATAGCTCGGTGACCCGAGAGGCTCGGCATCTGACGTCATGACCGCCGACGAGGCGGATGTATGCCCCTCCAAGTCGGACCAATCACGGCATGCGCCGTAGTAAGGCTGCGAGACACCAACGCCAGGCTGATGAAATTTTGATGAATGCAACTCTCCAACAAACACCCGATTCATCAGCACTGGTCCCGAGTGCCCATCAACCACCCGCACAACAATGAATACTCAACCGATGTAGATCAAACCTATCACAGGGCGCTTGAAAAACCCTTCCGTGGGAACCCCTCCTCAATCCCCTCCACCCCCCCTCCCCCGCTTAAACGATGTTCCCGACTGCCGCGCGCCGGGCCTTCGCGCCCCGCCTCCAGTTCGCCGTCTCCGACTCGATCCCTCGCTCCTACTATCTCGGTCATCACCACGCCGCGCTGCGCGAGATCTCCGCGCGTCTCTCTGATGTTGGACTGGTCCTCGAGTGCCGCGACTACCGCGTACCCCTTACGAGCTGGAACCCCGTCCTCGACCGCGCTGTCGCCGGCCGTGAGCGCATCGTCGTCTACACCCACCGCGACCTCGGCACGGACAGCCCCGCCGCCGTCGAGCACGCCCTGCGCCGCTTCCACCGTGGCCACTCTGCCGTCGGCGGCACTCCGCAGCGCGTCGTGTTTTGGCGCAAAGACGACCCGGCGAGCACGAAACAGCTCCTTTCCGAAATCAGAAGCGTCGCGCACTCCGTCGACAGCCTGACGGGCATGCGCGCGCTGGTCGTCGGCATGCCCAACGTGGGAAAGAGCACATTGCTGAATAAGCTCCGTGTGCATGGGATGCACAAAAAGCCAAACGTCGCAAAGGTCGGCGCGCAGCCGGGCGTGACGCGCAAGCTGGGGTCGCCGGTGCGCATCCTCGACTCCGAGGGAGACGGCGGGTTGGGGCTTGGCGAGGGCGTCTTCGTTCTCGACACGCCCGGTGTCTTCATGCCCTACGTGTCTGAAGCCGAGGACATGGTGAAGCTTGCGCTCGTGGGCTCCGTCAAGGACGACCGCATCCCAATGGAGATTCTTGCCGACTACCTCCTGTATCGTCTCAACCTCACCGACCCGAGCGCCTACGCCAAATATTCCGAACCAACCAACGAGGTTAACGATCTGCTGCTTGGGGTTGCACGCAAGACGGGAAAGCTCAAGGCAGGCGGAGAGGCGAATGCTGACAGCGCAGCAGACTGGATCATTAAACAATGGAGGGCGGGGAACCTAGGCAAGTTCGTGCTCGATGATATCAGCGATGAGGCATTCAAGATAAAAGACCTCGCGAGGGAAGGCCAAGGCCCTCTCAGCATGAATCAAGCGCGAAGAAAAGAGAAGGAAGCAAGAAAAGAAAGAGCTCTTAACAAGAGCAAGGCGATTTAGGACACCAAATAACTGGCTGTCCGTGTTAGAACTATAGAGAGATACCCCGCACTGTGTATCATACATGTAAAATAAAATATTGTTTTCGCGAGAAAGCAGATTTGTACACCAGATGCCTTAGATAAACAAAGTAAAGTCTGACAAGATGGCTGAAGACAAGGCCTAACTCCAACTCGACGTGATTTCGTCGCCATGGAAAATCGCCGGCAACACTGAAAATCGCAAGTGTCCGGGTATCCGACAATTTCTCCTCGACCCTGGCATTACCAACTGACAGTAGAACTGCAAACCTATTGCACACAGGGGAGCTTCTGGCAATCCGTGTTGTTCTTTTCAATAGGATTCCTTCGATACATTTTCAACACCTCAACAAAGCCGTGAACGCCAACAAATTTCAATCCGTAGGGGGCCGTCGGATGCCACCGTCGGCAGGCCTAGATATCATACTCCGAAGCGAAACAGACCTTTGGCCTCGGACGAGCGACGACTCGCTTATATAAACGCCGAGGAAACAACCAGCAGAACTTTGGCTCAGGGTGCATACTGGTTCTGCCACCTCAACAGATCCCGAGTGAGGACATCCATCATCTCTACGCAGTTAAGCGCCTTGAACTCCTTAGTCTCAGATCTGTTCTCGTCTGCCGTGTTGGTGATGGGGGAATTCTGCAACTCCGCTTTGTTGTTGCCGTTGATGTTGATTTTGGGCCCATCCGACGCAGCCGTTACGCAGGGGCTTTGCTGTTGAGAGCTGTTTTGGCTACTTCTTGACCCCGGAAGTGCCTCGGCCGCCAACTCAACCTGTGTCTTGGATATAAAGTCGAGGAACGCTGAAACTCTGCGCTTCATGTCGTTCATCGACACTTTGCTGTGGGTGCTGTTTGCCTTACTCCTTGCACTATGCTTAGGGTTATCCGTGTGGGAGTGTTTTGTTATGCCGGCGCCAGTGTGATCATCATGATTCCTCCCAATATCTCTAGACATCGATCGAGCCGGAGTGTCTTCGTTGTCGTCGCGGTCCTTAGTATACTGATTCCTGCCTTTGCCTCTTTTCTGGTTGTTGCGACTGGTCTTCTTGTGCGAGCTGCCAACTGGCGCCTGGTTCGCTGGCGGCGTGTCCGGGGTCGGCGCAGATGATGGAGGTGCTTCGACCGGCGCTGGTGGGGGCGCCGCCGCCTCCGTGCTGGGCTTGACGGTAAGGCGAGGTGGTGCGGGAGGGACCTCTTCCGACGGATCTGATTCTGCGCCCACGTGAGCTTCAGGTTCCTTGCCCGCATTCGCGGGGGTTGTACCCTCAGCCCGTCTCCGGTCTGCACGACCCTTTCGTCGATTTGCCGCCTCTGCCCGTTGCCTGTCGCGCTCTTCGCGCTCCGACTTTTCACGTTGTGTCCGGGCACCACGAGGCTTCTTTGATTGGCCATTCCGTGCGATGTTTTCCTCGTCTGTGTCATCTTCAATGGCCTCTGTCTTCTCAGGAGGCGGCGACATTGATGGGGAGCTTGTCCGTTGTCTTTTCAAACTCGTCGAATTCCTAAACCTGTAAGCGAATGGCTTTGCAGAACCCAATCGAGCACTTACTCCTCGCTTCCACTGCGACCTCGCTTCGCTCGTCTTGTCCCAAGCTCTGTCTGATCCAGAGCGGTTTCTTCTTTGCTAGCTTCAATGGCCCGTCGCAACTGCTCATCCTCATCGTATGCAGCGTCCCGGCTGTTCATTGTCGACCTTCTTTTCGAGGCTTGGGTCGCAGACGAAGCACGTCCATTCTTGCTTGTTTCCTTGGGTGACCGGGTGCCGTCCTTGACTAGCGAGGCAGCCCGAGACGTGGCGCGCGATGGGCGGTTGAGTGGAAGGTAGTTGGAGTATCGTTGTCTACGAAGAACAATATTAGCAATCGAGAGCGATGGAGGAAGAAGCGGCTCCTGAGACATGGTGCATCCCATCCTTCAGTAGCCGGGGATCAATGGCAGTGGGCAACAAAAGTGTCCAAAAAGGAAGGTAGAGATCGCTTACCCATTGCTGGCCGCATGGATCTTGTGCAAGTCCTTGCGACATTTCTCACAAAAGTATTCGTCGGGGGAACTTTCTTCAGTAAAAATACCAACGCAAGCACCATGCTGCCAGACTTTGCAGACGTCGCACTGGACAAAAAGACCAGAGACCTCATCTGACAACTCGATACTGGCGAAGAAGTCTGCCTCTGGATTGTGCTTCCCGTGCTTAGAATCCCCCTCAAAAGGCGGAGGCCCCGGGTATTCGTCGAAGCCACAGACGCATCGCACAGACTCGTCATCCTCCTGTACGTCGTCGCTGGCGGTAGCCATATCGTAGGGGTCGGCACGAGCCTTGTCGCGGGCGTCCTCTTGAGCACGAGTTCGGCGTCGCGAAGGGAGGGCGTCGTCAAGGTCTTCGGGCGGTTCTGAGGAGAGCGAAGCGCTTGGGGTAGATTTGGCGGAAGAGGTCTTGTTGAGGGATCTGGTGGTCCTTTCTCCCCGACTCGAGAGACTCGACGTTGTTGAGGATTGCTGTGACTGAGAGACTGTGTTGCCTCGGGCTCGTGAAGAACGCCGAGGAGAGGGGGGTGCCATTGAGGCAGCGCAGTGGAAGGGCGAAGAGAAGTGGGCGACGAGGAGGGATTCGGAAGCGGGAGGAGGAAGGGTCGGCGGGGATGTGCGATTGGCGCAGTAGGATGGCTTGTTGTCGTGATGTCGGAGGCGGGAGGTAGAGGGTGCGATTGAGACGTCGGGGCGAGGAGAGGAGGAGTGAAGTAACGAGAGTGGGCAGTGAGCGGGTGTGTTGTTGTGGTTCTGCTTTTGGTGGGAAGGCGGGCGAGCGAGAGGATGCGAAGAAACGGGTGCGACTCGCACGTCAGGCTAATGGGAAGAGAGGACTCGGGTACTCCAACAAGTGTTCTGAGCAGATCGAACAGTTCGCATGTCTGACAATCGAAGACAAGTTACGATCATGTCGGGACAGAACAGAGAGAGAGTGTGTGAGGGAAAAGAGAGCGAGAGGAGCCGGAGTGCGGAGGTGGGAAAAGGTCAGAGAAAGTGAATGCGCACTGGAGACTGGCCATGGGTGAAGGAGATAGTAGGCGACGGACTGGACCAGCACCGCACACGCTTTGGGCCTGGAAAGTGTGGTGCAGTGCGCCGCTTTCTCTTGCTCAGGCGTGCAGTGCCATTGGCAGTGCCAGGGAGCTGTTGCTCAGGTGCCCTTCGAGTACTACACCCCGGGCAGGCAGACAGACAGAAAGAAGCTCTGCGGGGCTAGGACACTGTCAATGTCAATTGTGCTGCATAACCCCTGCACAAAGGGCCTGGGAGACGGATGGGATTTGTGCTCGGTGCTGTCGGAAAAACTTGGCGATGACAGTCTGGGTATCGGCGACTCTGGGCGGCACTGTGTCTTGCCCACAGATTACACTTCGGAAGGCAGAAAAATGGAGTATTGGATACAAGCGAGCAGGGATTTTCTTCCGACCCGTCTTCCAGCACAGCAACGACCCCTCGCCTGAAGGGGGCCAAAATACCTTACGGTCCATGCCTGCCTGTCCCGCGCCGAACAGTTCTCATCTGCTGTCGAAGCCAATATTTTAATCGCATTTCACACAACACACTGTGCAGTGTCTACGTACGCTCTGACCAGTGTCACTCTCACCTTGTTCCCTGCCTTCCGCCTCAACCTCATAGTGCAATCTCATTCACCGGGCCACGCTCACCACTCACACACCTCGACTTGACCCCCAACCCCCCGGCGGTCCATCCACAGCGGAGCCCTGGCTTGCTGACATAACACGTTTCGAGTGGCCCTGGTTGACCTACGTCTCCTAATCACACACTAGACATTATCAAATGCTGTCATTAGCAATCGAAGCTGGGGAATTCGATTTATACATTGGCTTTTCCACTCGATACTTGCAGAGCTCGACTTCGCCGTTGCTGCCGCTCTCTGCATTCGACTCCGTCCTTTTTTTCGATTACACTATTTGTTCTTTGGAGCTCCTGTGCGCACCAAAGGCGAACGCGGAGCAGACCCAGCCCAATTCTGGTGGACCGAGTTGGTATGCCCGCTCCCCTCTTCTGTCGACGAAGCGAGATCCGCCCGTACTGTCTGTACCTGGGCCTTGAAAGTGCAGCACACCCCTTGGCTCTTTGAGTGGAAGGGGAAGCTGCTCTGCTGGTCCGGATATTGCTGAATGCGCACGATGTGTTTGTCTGGCTGGGCGTTGGCCAGCTTTCTGTTGCGGACACATGCTGATGGTTGGGCATACTCAGGAATCAAGGGTTACGAGCTCCCCCCCTCCCCATCTAAGACGGACCCTCCACCTCGAATCTCCTAGCCCGCCAACCACCACCCTCGAGAACCTGTTGCTATATTCCAGGAAGAAAATCAACCCTGCCACTGCTTGCAGCCTCGAGCTTCATTGCGTGAATCGTCTCCCCCGCGGTGGTGTGCCTTGGATGGCTCGTAGCATGAGGAGTTATGGGTATGCCTCGCTCTTCTCCATCTCTAACCTCTGCCACACCCTTGCAACGTCCATCCTCTGAACCATTGCTTTCACGAAATGTTTTTACTGCTGTCCTCTGCAGCCTGTCAGGCGCCTACTCATATGCAGATGAGACGCCGGAGTTGACTGTGGCGGCCGACTGCATAGGCCATGCGCCTTTGAAGCTCACCGGCCTAAGGCTCCATCACTCGACCAAGAAGCTTGCTAACCTCGATGCCTCTTGTTCGGAAGCAGGTCATAATCGAACAATGTCTCCCGAAAGCGTTTCATCCTTGTTCCCACAGAGGCCGATTCGTCCTCTGCCGAAACGTCGCTTGCGGGAACGCCTTTCCCCCGAAGTCGCTGATTCCATCGAGTACCCTCCGGCGAACCAGAATACCAGCCCCCTGTTTTACTACCCAAATATTGTACGAGATGAACTGCCCACAAGGACAGGAGGCCAGAACGGTACGAGTCGAGGTGGCGTTGGTTACGAGAATATTCCACGAGGTAGCGGGGTAGCCGGAGAGAGTGACGAGGAGGAACTGGCCCTCAGCAACAGCAAGGTCGTTCGTCGTTCACATCCGGAGATCTTGAATCGCGCCTCGACAATGCCTCCGAACCCGCAACCACCGCCTTCGACAACATCTTCCGCGGATGGGTATGAGTCTTTCGAGAACACCAACAACAAAAAGAAGCGAAAGATTCCGACTGCTGGAGATTCAGTGCTCTCCGGTGTACACTCAATCGGTGAAATCAACTCAATAGGTGTGTCAACGGCAACGTCTCCGTCAAACGACAACGGCGACCTCGCTGTATCAACATTGTCGTCATATTATGGGGCTGGAAGCTTTGTTGCAAACAACCAAGGCATCTCAGGGCCAGGAAGGGGCCGATTTGGAAGGTCCAGGAATGGAAGAAGCCCCCTCAGAGCTTTATCCGACGCAACAAGTAACTGGGTTGGAAGGGGAGCCAAGGTCCGGCAGCCTCAATGGGCGACGTCAGGTGAGTCAACCTTTTTATTCCAACGGCTTCTATTGCGTCCTTCATCCGCGAAGGGCAGAATGGAACCAATGGAGCTTTGCGGTTACCTGCCTGCTGTAAAGAAATTAAAAACTTGGAGGCCGCGCCTGATCGCAGGCTAAGTTGTTCCTTCCCTCTTTCACTTTCAGCCCATGCCGCTGTACCTCCCTCCCTTTCTCTCCACCAGCCTTCTCTTACTTTCTTTCACAACAGTCAGACGTCGTCAATACCAAAGATGTGCTGCTAAATTCTGCTCCCTGACAGGCGAAAATCACGGAATCATTTCTAGTGCCATCGCCAATGCCGAAAAGGCCCCCTCAGCACCGGGTCAGGAGAATGTGAGCCTCCTGCATCAGCATTCCTCCAGTGTCAAATCCAGCCCCACTGCTACGCAGTTCACGTTCACCTGCGACTCCCCTGTGCCCAAGCCTCAGTGGCCAGGGACTGATCCTGCTGGTTTTCAACCTGGATACGGCCCTGGCGGCAAAGCCAAACACAATTCAATGGCGACTCAAAATCCGGCGGACTTGACCAGCGCTACTGCTGGTCAAACTACAGCGCCAACTGGCAAAGCAAATGCTCAGCCTGGCGGGTCAAAGAAGAGTCGTCGTCGCCGAGCTGAGAAGGAACTTCGAATGGCAGCCAAGCAACGCCGTCAGGAAGCCGAGTACAAATACTACAACAATCCGCCCAAACTTGAAGACATGTGGGTCTGCGAGTTCTGCGAATACGAGCGCATTTTTGGCGAGCCTCCCCACGCCTTGATTCGACAGTACGAGATCAAGGATCAGAAGGCCCGTCGCAAGGAGATGGAAAGGAAGCGTCTGCTGGAAAAGGCCAAGGCTAAGAGCCGGAAGGGCAAGAAACCAGCCAAGTCGCCCGGAAAGACAGCGTCACCTCAGAATCTGTCCCAGGAACAAGGTGGTAACGCGCCCATGGCTGCCGCAGCGAGCAGTTCAACTCATGACGACGAATATGCCGACGATTATGCACATGACGATGAAGATTTCGAGGACTCCTATTCTCAAGAAGATCCGCCGATGCTTTTGAGCGATGATCCTGATGGTGATCAGGAGCACGACTGCACATGTCCAACGTGCGGCGACTGCGGAGGACGCGAGAAAGACGTTGACGATCCTGGCGATATCGTTCAGTAGGAGGCTGCCTATGAAGGCTTTGGCTGGATTTGGAAATGCTGTCTGGATGCCGATCTTTATTTTCTTGGTCTACCCAACACAGCTCCTCCCTCGGCGGCACCTTCAACCCTGATTCGATAGTAAGTGGTTGAAAGGATCACGAATCGAGGGACGATCTTGGAAAGGCGCCAGTTGTGCAGAACATCGATCGCTCTAGGGTGTCGGCCGGTATTCATCGAGACGGCCCATTAACACTGTTGGCAAATTCATCTTGAAAGCCCCTCGCTGACAAAAACCCAACAATCATCATTACTCTCGATCACAACCGTGCGTACCGAGGAAGTCAATAAGGCGCCAGCAGTCTTCAGCACAATCGACGACACTAGGGTATGGGCCAATACACGCTCATACTCCGAGTATTAATTAGATATTGAGCGCCGAAGTATCGGATATCTTCTTGCATGGAAAGAACGCCTAGTCAAAGAGGAGAGCAGAATCCTTGAGATGCGTCTAGACATGAGGCTTAGTTTGAGCTCCTAGCAAGACCTTTTTTATTGGGGGAGGTTCCTACAGCGGTACATAACTAGCTCAGACCACCATAGCTACTTGCTCGCGGAATCATGACATTCACATTAGCCACACTGGTGTCAGTAACTTTTGCCGTATTGGCGTAATGAGCGAGCGGCTTGCCTGTGCATGTTCATCAGATATGACGTCATGAACCTGCACTGACTAGTGGCCTACCTAGTGTAGGCCTTCGTCACAACGCATTGTCTTATTAAGCAGATCTTTTGATGGATCATGTTCCCATCAGACCTCAGAGTCTTTTAGGTTAATCTTCTGCATGCCATCATACATAGGCAGATGAGACTAGATGGCATGGTCTCGGATCGTGCTGTGGCAAGCGTGTCGCCAGCGTCTGCCATGCATTCTAAGCTGCCACGAGGGGCTAGCAATCCACTAAGATGGCGCTTTTTTTCTTCTCTCCATCAGAGCGGATGCAAATATTAGTATATCTGAGAATAGCTTGTCCGACAGGAGAAGGCCGCAGCGCAGAGCCGGAGACAGCACCAACACAGTCACTAGCCACGCTACCCGCGTAGAGATGTCGGCCTTCCTGAATTTGAGGACCCGATACACGGCTGGCCCAGGCCAGAGTTGATCTGCCCCGTTCTTCATGGCCGGTTGATACAATCGGTATAGCATGCATGGGCCTTGAAAGTACTTTCGGAGAATGGAGTTATGGTGAAGTTGGGGAAGGTGGATGGGATCGGAATGGCACCCCGGAGGGTCCCATCCTGAAGCCGGCGGGGTTTTTGATATCGCCGAGTTCTCAGCACTGTTTCGCCGCTAGGAAGAACACAATAAGGGATAAAGGTCAAGATCTTGGCCTCATGGCCCACCAGCGCCGTCTCGCGAAACCCGTCTGCGCGTCGCTCACCCGTGGGGAAGGAAGAATCTCCGAGCAACGATGGCTGTGTGGAAATTCGACCAGGGGTGAGGAGCAGAGGCCCAGATGAGGGGAAGAGACAGGAAAGCTTCGACAGTCAGGCCTGAAACAACCCTGTCCTGTCCGTCGGCCCCATGGTTCTGTGAGACGTCGATCAAAGTCTCCACAGGAGGTTCGGCAGTCAGAACACTGATGCGCACCGGCAGGCGGTACGTCTATGCACACCACACTACGTGTATGCTACCAACCTGCCTAGGAACAGTGTGTCCTTAATTACGTAGTCTAACAGTTAGCTACCTACAGGTTACCTACCTGGGCACTCTCACAGTGGAGCAGGCCGGAAGGACTGATGAGGTTAGTTCATAGGTCGGTTTGCTCACTAAATCAACTAAACTACCAAGATAACCAAATACCATTCAATATTTACCCATGCCCTCAAAGACAGACAAAGACACAGCGGATGGAACAATAGGACAGGCACACGTCACGGATTGATATGTAGCCCCATTCCATAAAAGTTACTTACCTACACGATCGAGAAATCGACAGGTCGGGGACCTCGTGCGACGACCGTTCTCGATACGCGTAGACACCTTGGGCCGATTTTTGTCTTGTTTGGGCCGGCCAATGCCTGCGATACATAGGGTGCCAGGTCATCGAGGTTGTCACAATTGCGTAGCAGCCTAGCCAGCAACGAGCTGCAATGGCCAGCAAGGACATGATTAGCCGCAGGGCCCGTCGGATTGGCACCTCCCTTTCTTCGAGACGCTGGGTCAAACCCGGCTTGGTAAGGTCCAAAAACGGAATGGCGGCAGAGCCGAAACAAGGGTGACTCCAGTTCTAGCCCAGCAAAGGAGAGTCGAGCCAACAGCGGTAAGGTGCATTAGGCAGGCGCAAGCCTGCTGGGCTGCAGTCAGTGATGGAATGGGTCCCAAGGTCCCAAGGTCCAAAGACGGAAAGACTTGAGAAATGAAAGCTGTGTCCCCTCCGGAGCAGGGGAGACCCCCCATTGTGGCTAAACCCAACTCATATCTTCCGTCATCATCCCATCCCATCCTATCCGCGTCCCTCTAATCCACCAACTTCCTCCTACCCCAGCTTGAACTTTTTGTTCCCCCCGGACATCACCACCGCGCCCTCTCCGTCTTTCACATAACCCAAAACTCTCTTAAACGCCTCACCCCCACCTCTTGAGACCTTTATTCTACATTTTCTTTTCATCCGTTCCCCTCCTTGCGCCTTTGTATTCATATATGCATCCAATCCCATGCGACCTGCCATAAAACCGTCTCAGGCCTTGCGCCGTTGATCGACATTTCCGAGACCAGCAAACATGTTTGGAGGTTCGAGGCGCCACCGGCAGGCCAGCCAGGTATGTTATATCGCTGCGAACTGATGCTGCTTTGCCTACAGTTTGACTGCCGTCAGCCACTGCATTTATACGATTCACGGCAACGCATGTGTTCGCGACTGGCGCTCCAGGGAACCAGTCTTGCTTTGATACTGACAGCATGCGATTCCAGCCGTTGACCGCCGCTACCGCAAACCCAAACGCCGCTACCGCCGCCGCCTCAGCATTCGCGCGACGCGCGTCCACCTCTTCCCTCTCATCAGCCGCCGCAGCTGCAGCATTGCGGTCGCGACCCACGACACCAATCAATGTGGCCGAAGTACAGACGAAGCGCACGCAGAAGCGCAGCGCATCGGTATCATCGCATGGGAGCCAGGACACGAGAAGAGGGCTGCAAAGGTCCCCTAGTCAGAGCTCCATGACCGAGCGGACGTTCCGCTCGCCGTCTCCGCACAGGACTCCAATGACCCCCATTGATGCGCCGCCCGTCCCGGCCATTCCGGACGATGTGCGATCAATCACAAGCCAGAGTTCCTCCCACAAGAGAGGTACTAGCCTGCAGATGCAGCCGTTCCGCGTTGCAAGTCAGAAGAACAAAGAGGGTGCCGGATCATGGTTTGGGGCCGCAGTCGAGGGCAATTTGGCCAACGTCAGGAAGTCAGATGACCCAATACGCGTCGGCTCTCTAGAGTCACGCCCGGGAGCTGTAAGCCCAACTTCTTCTGTAAACTTTTCATACCCGAGGATGCCCGGCACATCGCCCCCTGCATCGCCAACCTTCGAGAGCATGAAAATGACAATTAGCCAGCGACTTGTCTCGCCCCGCCCAACAGAGTCGGTGACCTCGCGGACGACGACCACCTCAGAACAGTCCCTTGTTTATGATCCAAATTCCAGGAGAATGGTCCCTAAGGTGGATGCGTTGCCACGAGAGCAGGTTGTTCGGGATGCTACTGAGAAGCCCGTCAAGAAGAAGAAGAAGAAGCAACAGCAAAGATTGGCAAGGAGCGGTTCTCACCTAGCGAAAGGCACCGTTGGCAGAGTGCAGGGTTCTGCGGTTGCCTCTGCGGAGGCTGCGTCTATGCCTGCGCCAAACCAACAACCACAAGTTCGCGCACACACCGATGCACCCGACCAAGTGACTTTGCAGAATCAATCGCATATTGAAGAAACCGCGCAGCCGACCCCGACGCAAAGACAAACACCGGAGCCCGCGCCAGCAGTCGTACAGGAGCCAGCTCTTACATCCTCTGCCACCAGCAGACCTTACACGACTGAAAGCACTGAGCCAACTCACCAACAGCCTGCTGGTAGTTCTGAGGTCGAGCAGCCGGTCGTTCGCGATGTTCAAAAAAGTGATAGAGCCTCGACTCTGCCCACTCCAGAACTTCGTCAAGGCGCCCCTGTTCTAGGAAGAAAACCATCCATGGTTCAGGAGGAATCCGAGGATGAGTTGGCAAGCTCAAACGACGAGGCTGAACACAGTCAACAGCCGGTTGTGCACCGTACAGTTGCTGATGTTATTGAAGTAGTACCCATGAGGTCATCGGCGCCCAAACAGCCATCCTTATCGTCCGAAAGCACGGTTGTTGAGGCCCCAGCAAATATGTCATCCCAAAGGCAACCAAGTTCACCACGCTTGAACCAACCCGGCAGTATCAGGAATGCACGTGCGCAATCTGCCAGTCCTGTACGATCAGCGCGCTTCGCACTGGGCGCAGATCGGCTGGTCATCAGACACGAGCCGCCACCCAGATCAGTCTCGCCCCGAAAATCGGCCATGAAACACTCGACCAGTCCATCTCGCGGCGCCTCGCCTTCAGATGATGGCTCCGAAGCATCAGTGCCAAGTCGATTTGGCAGCGAGGCTACCGCAGTGGAGGCACCAATGCCACGTAAGAAGAGTGTGCGTGTCAGCTTTGATGATGAGAACACTAAGGTTATGGGACAATCAGCCGCAAAAACAGAGTTTGACTCGCCAGTTCTTCCTAGTTCTCAGCAGGCCAAACGGCATTGGTTTAATCATCTGGGCAGAAACAGGAAGAAGGACACTCTTACTCTAGACGACGATGAGGTTATGAAGCCTCGGCCAGCGCTGCCCTCGTTTGGCAGCGTTCGTGAAAAGAAGCCAAGAGATTCCGAGGAAGAGCGACCTCTTGTCCGGCCCCTCGAGTCACCCTCGCCATCCGGGACTGGTGCACCTGAACGTAAACCAGACCGGCCTGTTCCGACCGGCCAGTCCATCGACCACAACGTCGGTATGGTTCTCAGTCAGGAACAGACGGCCAGAAATGCTGCGAACATATCAAAATTCAGGGAGCCATTACCGCCCGTAGTTACTTCCTTAGAGGGCAGTGGTTACTACTCTCCCAGCAGCTCAAGTAACTCCGACGCCGAGGATGGAGATGATATTTTCCAGGACTCGGAGGTTGTTCAGGAGCCTGAACCTACTATGTCTCCTGAGCAAGTTAAGGAGGAGATTGTAGCCGTTCAGCCTGAGTTGACCGCTGATACTCCCGTCCTATCGATCCAGACAGCGCCAGTAGTTGGAGAAGATGGTCATGACCACAGGGAGGAAGACATCCCTTCAATATCCGTCATACAACCGACTCCGATTCCTAAGGAGACGGAGGGCAACCGTTCAGCAAGCTTGTCTGAGCAAGGCTACTTCGATGTTCCTGGAGGGTTTCCAGAGGACGAGAGCGAGGACAACGCTTCTCATCCTAATTCTCAGCCGAGAATGGCCATCATGAAGAAAGACCAACCGGCACAGGCGACGGGAACCAATGGCGGAGTGGATTCTTCTTTCAAAACCGCTCACCACTTAGCCCCCGTGACAGAGTCAGATTCCGAAGGTGACAGTATCTATAGCGACGCCTACGAGGATCTTTCGGACGTCGATGGTGACGGCTTCATGTCTTTGGACGCCGTCATTGCATCCCCCATTCAAGACAAGCTCTCTCATAAACCATACCAGAAATCAGTAGAAAAGACGTCTCAGCAGACGCCGGAGAACTCTAGTGTCACCATGTCCCAGAATGACACTCAATCTTCAAACGTCTCCGGCAGCTCGCGGCGGCCTGAAGATCAGCCTGAAGATGATTGGGAGAGGGCCAAACTTTTTTGGAGGGGATTGACCAGCGACAAGCGGAAGCAGTTGGAACAGGAAGCTCTAGAGGAGGCCGGGGCTGAAGGAGATCTCGAAGAAGTGATGCAGCCTGTAAAGGTCAAGAGAAAGAAATCTGTCCGGAAAAGCGATCCGGCGACACAACAACAAGTGTCTGCTAATCCAGAGCGGGTCTACCAGATTCAGCCCGGAACGCGAGCTATCGATGAAGAGGACGAAAAAGACTCCCCCACAACTCTGCGAAAGACTCTTCGTGATCGACATGGTCAAGAAACTGGGTCTGCAAATGGAAGGCTCCAGAAAGCAAGGCGTGGTGGCCAGGCTCAAACATCGCCAGCTTCTGGTGCAGGCATGCGAAAGACATTGCGACCAGACGCCTCGGGCTCTCAGATCGTTCATCCATCGCAACCCACTGCTATGAATGGCTTGAGGAAGTCCATGAGGCAGAACGGTTCATCCCCCCAAGCAGGGCTCGCACCTCAACCTCGTATGAATCCAACAGTCGACAGCCGGCCAGTCTCTCTCCAAGGCCCTCCGTCAGGCCAGGATTCCCGGTCCAAAACTCTTCCCATGGATAACTCAATGTCGAGTGTCGAAATGGCAAAAGCTATGCAAGCGACTCTCCGTCGCCGTGCATCCGACTCTAGCGAAAGCAGCTTTCGACGGGCCCGTCCCAAACAGGAGGGCTTCGGTTTCCGCAAATCTATGAGAACAAATACAGAGACCGACCTGTCGGCAACCGGTAGAAATTCGCGGTTCAGTCTTCGGTCGATGTCTCCTCCCGCTTCACCCATTTCACGGCCTGGCAGCATGGGCAACCGGACGACTATGCGCGGCACGTTGCGCAGCGACTCTAGCGACGGAAGTACGAGGCGTATGCGTCTGCCCACTTTTGGAAAGTCTTCGTCGTCAAAGAAGACTACTGGCAAACCTGGTAAGAGCCGGTTTGGCGACTCAAGCGACGAGGATAATGCTGGACAGTCCGGGTTCCGCAGCCGCTTTGCCGAATCCAGTGATGAAGATGAAGTATCGGCTCCTGCGCCAGTCACTCGCAACATGCCCAAAAGCAAGCGCGCATCGAGTTCTGCCGCGGCTGCGGCGATGAAGGTCCCTCCTACTCGCAACAATGAAAAGGCAGAAGAGTCACCGGACCTGCCTGACAGCAGTGATGAGGAGGTGGTGCGGTCACCAGCACAGCAGAAGCCCCTCTCTCCGAGAAGGGCTTCAGGCGCTAGCGGTCGT